ATAAATTACAGATTACAAGGAAAACCAGTTTTACTGAAATACTATCAAATGCTTTTTTTAAAAAAAAAAAAAGTATTGAATAACAGATCTAGTTGTAGGTCTAACTACCATATCAAAATAGTGATGTGCAGATAATGTTTTGTGGTATCTGCCTCAATTTTGTGATACTGAAATATTTGTGATTTATATTAGCAAGTCACATGTACTGCTGATACTATGTGTTTGTTGCCAACATTGACAATTGAAAAAAATGCTAAATTTATTAAATGTTACTAACCTCCCATCCAGGTTTATGGATCCCCTGAATTCTATCCATAAGGTCCTAGTTAAGAACATCTCTAACTGAGGGAATCTAACAGAATAATTTTTAAAATTTACATGCAAAATTAGCTTTCTAGATTCACAAAAGTTCTATAAGATTTAATATTAATAAATGTTTTCAAAAAGAAGAAAAAGCAAAAGTGAGATAAGTAAATAATTATAAGCTGTTTGTAGAGAACACTGGAGAGACCATGTGGGTTCATGCCTTGTCTTCACCATTTATTTACTGTGCCAACTTGGACAAGTTTAGTTTCTCTAAGCCTCAATTTCTCAATCTGTTCACTGGGAATAGTAATAGTGTTTACTTCATTTAGTTGTTGTAAGGATCAAAGGATATAATGTAAGTGAAAAATATCAGCAAAGTGCTTAACACTAAGAGCTCCTTAGGTATTAATAAAAATGTATTTTTCAACAATACAACTGAATTCCTTAAAAGCATGATGGTATTCATTGCAGTTAATCACAAATAGGGAAAAACAAAGCTAAGGAGACAACATGTATTGTAAACTATACACATACCCTCACTTTAGAATTATGAATCTTTAGACAATCTTTAGACCTAGGGACACTCTAATGAGCCTAATTACAGAAACCTATGTATGGTTCAGATGACGAAGTGAGCAAACCTGGTTGGTATGATGTTGACAAGAACATGACCTCAATCTGAGAGTAAATTATTACATGTTTTCCAGGAACTAGACATTAAAAAGCAGCAAGATGGTTAGGTAAGTTAGGGCCAATTGATTTAATGTAATATGATGCAGTCACTGAAATGCTAATAAAAACAATAACAACACAGAAACTACTTATGATGAAATGTTAAGTGCAGCAGCTGGCTAAGCCTTCTTGGATAATATCCCGCCCTGAATTCTTCAACACTACTGTTAATTTAGGTTCAGACTGTGTTCTATTCTGACCATAAAGTTTTCTACCTTGCACACAAAATCTTTTCTCAGTTCCCAACTGAATTTCTTAAAAGCAAATCTCATTTACTACTAATCATTTCTTCAATTTAGCATACTTATTTACAGTTCAAATTTCACCTAAGCTCCTCTCTTAAACCTCCTTCCACAACGTATTTATCTCTAAGCCAAACTGTAATTTCATTGAGCTCCATGGGATTCACTGAAAGAGTATGTGCCCATGAAAAGATCATCTGGTGTTGCTCCTTTCTGCTGTTTTCATCCTCCCATCAGAATATTAACATGAAAGAATAAGGCATTTGAAAAACAAAGATTTGGGTAATTAAAGAAATTGCCAAATTATTAGTAAGACCATGATTAACTAACAAGATCTAAAATTAATATTAGTCTATCTTTTTCATCTACTGATCGATTTTAGTTAAAAATCTTGATTGATTTTAGAGATATTAGAACATACTATCTCTGAAGAGCTGGAACACAGAAAATAAAACTTAAGATATGACAGACCAAATGTTGAAATATTTAGTTACTGAATTTAAAATGACATGAGGACTTCTTAGAAATCAAAATTATAGCCAGATAGCAATTATTTTCTCATTTTCAGTAGAATAGGTATAGCAGGAAGATAAGAACACCACCACATTATCACATTTGCCGACTAAATAGAATATGATTTTGAGAAACTGTCTTTCCTAGTCTTTAGAAGTGATAGAAATACAGAGTAAGTACTAGAGGGAAGAGTCTGAGGAAAAATGAACATTGTTACTGATAAAAATGTATCTCTTTTTAATTATTAAACTCAACTACCTATGGTAAAAGACATGAATACTTAACACAAATAAGTGTCTTTTACTAGTTCCAAAAACATGATCCAGCTGCAAAAATTATAAAGTTGCTGCTAGGGAGACACAAAGAAAGGTGAAACTTCCAATAAGGACCTGTAGATGGTACACATTATTTTTAAAGCTAAAAGAATAATAGTATGAGGAGAAAAAAGAGAGTCTACCAAATTAACAATTTGAGGATTCACTAAGCAACAGGATAAACATGGAATGCTTGGGACAGCCATTTAGTTAATTAAAATAAGTAGTTCAGGTAGAATAAGCCAAAGCAGGTTCGCGAAAGTCCCTCTGTTGCAGAATACCTGCAAATCTGAGTTGAGCATGGCATTAATATATGAGGTCTATAACCTCTCAACCCAAATGGGATGGGCTGCTACCAGGATCCTCAGACTGAAAAGCACCGGGCACAAACTCATGTGATGTCTTTTAACCAAGGATATTTTGATTTGTAAAATCCTCACACACCCCAACAAAATGGGAAAACTTTAATTACAAAGACTTTAAAAAATTTTTTTAATTTTTTGCCTGCATAGGTAATTCATTTCAAGAAACAGCTGCGAGAATTAGAAGGGCTTATTTATTACTTTAATTTCTCTCAATTAAGAAGACTTTATTTCTCATGCATAAACAGGAAAACAAATTCATTGCAAATTTTAAAGGAAAAATCATTGAGAGAAAAAATGTTAAATACTTCAAGATATTGTAACCTGCAAATTCCATCAAACGTTATTTATTGAAATTCTACTTTAAAAATCCTCCACTAAAAAGTATTTATGATGTTCCATTATTATAGATATGTGGCCAAAATATGAAAAAATAATCAGAGATACTTTTTCAATTAAGGCTCTACATAGTTCATAAATGGTAATAAATCTGTTAATTTAAACAGTATCACTGGGATAAGAGTTTATCAAACTCAAAGGCAATTTTCAATGAGAAAGAATAACACTAACGTGTAAATTTCATGGAAAAGAAATGATGTCAGACTTAAACCACATTAACTATGAAGAACTAGACAGCTAGTGTGTCACTATATATATAAAAAAGATGACTGTGGATGGGGTCAAGTGGGGAGGCAGACAGTGGCAACCTCTGGAAGATGGAATCTCTTCTCTCTGCTGGTCCTAGAAGAGAAAAGAGACACCAATAAGCATCAACACACTGTCCGAATTCCTCCCCACCCGAGACCCACCAGTCCACAGGTGTTTCTCAACCTTGGGGCCAACTTCACCTGCAGAAATGGTATTCAGTGTAAAGAGGGCATCAAAACCCCTGCCTTATCTTAACTTGCCTAGTGCCATCTGTAAAAATTTAAAACTATCAAATAGATTATTTATTTTTATAATTATAATCTGCATCAACTGGGACTGAAACCAGCTGGGCTGAAATTAATAACTCTTATTGTGCAACCTTTGCACTCAACTGTTTTAAATTATGAAGAGGTTATTAAGTATAACTTAAAAGTTATGAATTCTCCATGAGTTGGGGTATGTGTGTGTGTGTGCACGTGCACCTGTGTGTGTTTGTGTACAAAGCAAGTGGCTACAACCAAATTTTGGGGTTGTAACTGTTATTTGTAATGACTTCCACTCAATGTATGGAGGTCATGGAGGAAATGGAGAGATAGAGTTGTTTACAGCAAGCTGACAAAGGGAAATTAATCAAGTTGTACTATTTGAAACAGGTTATCCTCAACCTGAAAAGCAGCCCTAACACAACTGACATTCAGAGAATAATGATACAAACCAGTGTTTAGAGTGACAGCAAATAATTCCCTCAATTCTTTCATACAAATAGAATTCTACAGAATCTGCTTTTCCTAGGTAGTAGAGCTAGCTGGTAGTTCTAAAGCAAGTGGCACATTCTTACGCACAGCACTACCGCTTACAAAACAACTCTGATTCACTGTTATTTTCTCACATATCCTCGTGGAAGACCTAGTCAGTAGAAACTATATCCAAGCAAATCCTATAAAGTAATTTTTAAAATCAGTTACTCAAGACTAAGATCTAAATGTACACAATAGGGAGTTAATTGATTTAAATTAAATAAACAGTATCTACGTTTCCACGTTACCAATCATTGTTTTTTTCTAGGGATTGTCCTGGGCACCGGGGGATACAAAAACTCGAGTGAGACACAATCTTTGGACGTAAAACGGCAATGAAAGCGCATTTCTGGAAGACCTGAAAGTTTAAAAACAGAGGCTCTTCTGGACTCATAGCCTCTGGGTCAAGAAGATATATGTTCATCTTGTTAAAATGGATTTTGCAAGTAAGACAGGTAAAGTAGAAGACAGAAGGGTGCGTACCCTTTTGTATTTTCATGGTTCTTGCCAGAAACCAAGTCCAAAGAGATGTAATGAATGCAAGTCTCATCACTTTACAGAGGTTTAGCGAGAGCAATACATGAAAAGACTGAGAAATTGGGATTGAGCTCTGGTTTTGTGAAACCATAAATTAAGAGTTGGAAAAGACCTTGACAAAACCATTAACAAAGGAATTCAGAAACCCAAACATTGGTAAGCCATCTGGACAACGCCTACTCCTTTATTTATTGAACACTACAATAAGCAAAATAAAAACAAATGTTTGACCAAGCAGACCACGTGTTTCTATGGTATCTTTTCTTAGTGCCTCAAATGTCTTCCTAAATCACTCAATTGCACCTGCTGCAAAGATCGAACGTTCTCTTGCCAGAGCCCAGAGCAGAGCACGTTTTCGCTCCCCGAGCGGAGGCAACTGCGACTCACCCGGGAGGCCGGCAAGGCCACCTCACAGCCAAGGCTGTCCTCGACACAGCCCGCCGCGCGGCCGCCCACGAGCCTTCGGCCCCACGCGCGCGAGCGCCGCCCGCGCCCCTGCTGCCCTCCCACCGCCAGTGGCTCAGCACCCTGAGCCCGCAGCCCTCGTACCTCACACCGCTGCTCCGAAAGCCCCGGAACGCGCTCCTGGGCCCTCCCGGTGCTCTCACGGGGGGTGCTGTGCTCCTGCCCAGCGCCGGCACTCGGCCCAGGCGGCCGCGGAGCAGCAAGAAGCCACGGGCCGGCACAGTCATGGCCGCGGATCCCCGGCTTCCGGACCGGGGCTCCACCTCCCGCTGCTCCAGTCCTCGCGGCTGGATGCCCGGCTCCGCCCTCACCCGGCCTGGCGGGGCAACGAATAGCCTCTGCCAGCCAGGTTCCTGGAGCCACGCGCAGCGGGGTCAGGAGCGGATCCCAGGGCGGGGTGGGACTGAGAGGGGGCCGGGTCCTCAGGGGGCAGGGCCAGGACCCAAGCCCCGGTGCCAGCTGAGGTTGTGAAGGCTCTCCGTGTGGCCGGCGACTCGGCCCGCATCCAGCCGACAGGCAGCTGGCATTCCCACAGCGAAGGCACAGAGAAGGCCTCCAAACTAATCACTTTAGGCTGCAAGCCCCACTTTCCACCAAGCGGAGATTCTGCCTAACAGTCTCCGAGAATTGGATTTAAAGCAGGAAAGAAGTAATGGGTTCACTGTTTCCCCACTCCCTTTGTGAGATTCCTTGGAAGCTGGAGAAAAAACAAAGGTGTGTGGAGAAGGAGCAGAACCTGGCTGAACATAGGTCTGGACCTTAGGATTTCTATATTACTTTATCATCTCCGCTTTTGGAAGGAAATACTGACCAGTATCTGTCTTTTCCTGAGTTTATGATCAAGTCGATGCAGGTTAAGAACCCTGCATTGTGTAGTGAGTTGGTGGTGAAGAAGCAAAATATCTGCTCCATCTGACAAAGTAAAACATTAGATTGTCCATTCATTGTGCAAATTAAAACAGATACACAAAAGACACAGTCACAGATTAAACCAGTTGCAAAGTTAACAGGAAACAACTATTCTCCCAAGGTCAGGCTGCAGCTGGGTTGTTGAGTCCGAACAACCTCTCACAGCTGCACTTTTACTGAGAAAAACTTTTTTTTTTTTTTTTAAATCATAGACTATCAGAAAACTTGCTCTTTAAAATCATATCAGTAAGAATGGGACACCTTACTCTGGCCTGGCTAATCTAAATCCATTTGACACAAATAAGCAGCCTAAAAGAAAATATAGGAAAAAAAATAAAAACTTGGGTTTGACAATGAGACTTTAGATACAACACCTAAATCACAATTCATAAAAGAAAACACAATGTAAACTTCTGCTATGCAAAAGACACTATTAAGATAATAAAGAAACAAGTCATGGGCTGGGAGAAAATATTTGCAAAACATTTTTCTGAAAAAGAACTTACACCCAAAATATACAAAGAACTCTTGAAACTCAACAATGAAAAAAAAAAAGAAGAAGAAAGAAAAAGCAACTCAGTTAAAAGTGAGCAAAAGATCTGAAGAAACCCACCAAAGAAGATATACAGAGGTCAAAAATATGGGAAAAAGTTCAATGTCATTTGTCATTAAGGAAACACAAATTAAAACAACAATGAGATACCACTACACTCCCGTTAGAACAGGAGAAGTCCAAGAAACTGATAATACCAAATGCTAGCAAGAATGTTTGGCAGTAGGAACTTTCATTCATTGTTGGTGAATAAAAAAATGGTTCAGTCAGTTTGGAAGACAGTTTGGCAGATTCTTACAAAGCTAAATATCATTTAACCACGTGATCCAGCAACCATGTTCCTATATATTTACCCAACCAATTTTAAAACATGTCTGCAATAAACCGTCATATGAATGTTTATAGCATCTTTATTCATATTCTCCAGAAACCAAGGTGTTGTTAAATAAGTGATAGATAAACAAATTGTGGAATAGTCATACAATGGGATATTATTCATCAATGAAAAGGAGCAAGCTACCAAGCCATAAAAATACATGGATGAATCTTAAATAATACTGATAAAATGAAGGAAGCTAGTCTGAAAAGGCTACATACTGTATGGTTTTTATTATATGGCATTCTATAAGAGGCAAAATTATAGAGACAGTTAAAAGATCAGAAGGTTGACAAAGGATCAGAAGACAGGGCAGAGGTTTGACTAGTGGAGCACACAGGATTTTTATGGCAGTGAAACTATTTTGTATGATACTATCATGGTAGACAGAGGACACTATGCATTTGTTAAAACTTACAGAACTTCACAACACAAAGAGGGAAACTTAATGTAGGTCATATTAAAAAATATTATTCATATGGGAAAATTATGTTTTCTACAATGTTACCAGAATCAAGGCTCTGTTTATTCCACACAAGACTTGCATAGAAAAATAAGATACTATATTTTGTTTGTATGTTCTAAATACAAACATTTAACACATTTTATCTAGATGTGTAAAAATGTTTTTTAATCACATGGAATGGTTTTTTCAATATTAAAAAGTGGAGGGAGATTCATTTAAACAAATATTTATAAAAGAAATATGTACATCATCCTGGAAATTATTTGTGGTTAGGAAATATTCTTTACTCCTGTTGCATTTCTCAGGCAATAAAGTGGTGCATCCATGCTATGTCCTATTTTGTCAGCAAAGATACTATTTACCCTTTACATTTTTGTATCATAATAGATTTTAAAAATCTAATGTTCATTGCAGACATTCATTTGTTAACAGATTTGTTTCTTTTTAATGTTTTACCTAAAATTTGACATGCTTTCAGGACAGGTTTGCCTCTTTATTTAACGTTGTAGAAATGTAATTAATAGAGCCTCTTACTTTAACATTGTAGAAATGAAATAAACAATGCTCATTACTCAGTTTAGCATAGACATTCTTTTATATTATCTTCCAAATTTGATCAGTTAGCAAAACTTAATACACCAATAAAATATTTCTACATATGATGAGAATGTTTACAATTTAAATTTTAGAACTTGTTTTGGATGTGCTTATATGTACAAAAATCATTTAACTGTATGCTCATGCTAAGAACCAACATAACTAAATTACTGAAATAAATGTGCTGTGAGGAATGGAAAAAATATATATTATTTAGCAGATTGGTGGTTTTCAGGAAGGAATGAAGGTTGTGACAAGAGAATCTACTGTATTACGCATATATGAAACAATCTCACTGGAAAGGGTGGGGAAAAGGTTCTGACCTAATTAACTTTTGAATTGCAAGGTAAAAGTCTAACAACAGAAGAAACTGCATACAGGAACTATGCTGTAGTTAATAAAGTCACTGATTTACATTAACAAATCTGATATGGCTATACATGTATACTGGAATTAAACAGTTATTTAAATGGAAGTGGATGATAGGAGCCAGATTCCTCATTTTTGGAGTGGCAATTTACAGATAAGCAATGGGAGGAGGCTAGAATAATACATATGATAATGGATGAGTGTTGGGAACATTAGTTTTGGCTTAATATAGATACAGATGGTTACATATAGAAATGTTCATGGATGTGTGAATATTCAGGAGTTAGTATACATACATATATTTATTTGCTTTGCCAGCTGAGAAGGCATAAAAGAAACAACACCCAAAACCAATAAGCACATCTTCAGCCCAGATCTTGATTTCTAATGTCATTCTACAAAACAGGAACCAGGACTCCTTGGAAAAATGGTGGATTCTAGGCTAAGGAAATATATTAGATGATTCTAGAGCATCATGTAATTCTTGAAAGTAAGGAACTCAAATAAATCCCACATTGATGGGGATGTATCAGGGACAGGAGCCAACTGAAAGGGTTCCTAATGCCCAAATCTGGAACGATTAGCAAAAGAGTGTTAGATTATAACCCAAAGTATAAACTGAGTTTCCATGGGCCCATAATCACATAAATAAATATGTGATTGAATAAGTAAATAAATGGGGGAGAGAAGAAACATGATCCAGAATTCCTAAAATTTATGTAGATACTTAACTCTGAAGAAGCAGGAGTAGAATTCTTTACTTCTTAAATGGGAGCTGATGCTAGTGACTTGTTTTCAGAGAGTTCAGCTTAGGAAACAGGACAAGAGAGTAACTTATCTATGAAGAAACTTGACAAACACTACCTCAGACAGGTGATCAGGATTAACACCGATACATCATGCTGATAGCATGGATACTTGATGCAATGTGATGATAATTGTACTTTACCTCTGTAATCTTCCTGCAAAACCCATAACTCCAGTCTGATTGTGAGAAAAACAAATCTCAATAGAGGGACATCCCACGATATACCTGAAGAGTATGTCTCAAAACTATAAAGATAATCAAAAACAAGGAAAGTCTAAGAAACTGTCATAACCAAGAAGAACCTAGGGAAACCTGACAACTAAATATAATGTGGTATCTTGGATTGGATACAGCAACAGAAAAATGGCATTACATAGAAATGAAGAATATCTGAATAAAGGATAAACTTTTGTTATTAGTAATTTATTGATAGTAATTCATTATACCATATAATGTAAGATGTTCACAATAAGAAAAACTAGATGTGTAGCATATGGGAAACTCAGTACTATTTTCTCAATTTTTCTGTAAATTTAAAACCGTTCTAAAAAATAAAGTCTATTTTTAAAAATGTCTGTTTAGCCAAGGGAGATATATATTAGAATCAGTATCAGGAGAGATTATTCAAAGATGACGTTATCCAAGTTTTATTTATTGATCTATTTGTTGTTATTAATATATTTATTAATATTTCCTCCTGGACCAAAAAAGGTAAGGCTGATACATTTTTTCCTTTTTTAATTCTCAATGTGCTTCTAAAACCTGCTCAACAAATATTGAATTCATTTGAATTGAATCAGAGATGGTTAAAAATTACAGAGAAAGAAAGCCAATTGCTAATATGGAATAAAAAGTTTCTCCCATGATTATTTCAAGGGTTTTGATGAAAATTTTGAAAGTTGCTTTAAAAAGTACAATGCATTTTTATGCCACAGAGATATACACTTTCCGGTAATTATAGTGCCCATGGCATTGCTTGGAGCATCTGATTTAAGAGGCTCCATTTATATTATCACTTATCTTTTCACTATGTAACATTCATTGTTGTAACAAAATGTTTCAAAATGATTATCAGAATGTCAACAGCACTGGCATCAAAAGCTAACTGGAGTAGGTTGGTACTAGTCTACCTACCACAACACACAGCACACTTGCAAATTATGAAGCATAACAAGAAGAAGAATATTCCTGAGCCTACTACCCAATGTAAGAATTAGAACCATTCCGATCGATATCAATGAATAAATCTATGTGCTTCTTCTATATCCCAGTTTTTTTAATCAGAGGTAATCATTGTCTTGAATTTTGTAGTTTAATCCTTTTGATTTAAAAATAATGTAACAACAAATATATCTTTTAACAATATAATGCTCAGTCTTGCTTGGTTTTTGTTTTGTTACTTGAGCTTCGAAAAAATGATATTAAGTTGGATGCAGTCTTCAAGCACTTGCTTTTTCCCTTTTACTCTGTGTTTCCAAAACATATTTATTTTGTTGCTTGTAGCTATAATTCATTCATTTTTTCTGCTAAATATTATGAAATTGGGGACATTTATTTTTTCACCAGCCTATCAATAAATGTCTGAGTTTGTATGAGACAGAATCTAGAAAGAAACAGAAACTTCAAATAAAGGAAATTTAATATAGGGATTTAATTAAGTAGGTAATGGAAGAACTTAGAAGCCAAAAAGGATATGAAACAACCCAACAGCAGGAAACCACTAAAATGGCTACGTCCGGAGAGACAGCTAGATGGAGCAAGTAGCACTATCAAAATTGAGAAGATGAAACTATCTAATGAGAGCTAGAATCATGGCAAAGGCTGCCTTGCACGACCTGGAACTATCTAAACAATGATTGACCAGAGGAAGCTACATCCACAAGGGAGAAAGTAGAAAGATAAGAAGAAAAATAGACTGGGTTTCCCTTTCTCCCATCCTTCAGTACTTTACTATTGTTTCCCATTGGTCAAACCTACTTGAAAAGCAAAAAGCAAAGGGGCCTAGGAAATAGAGTCTTCTGGGATACAAGTTCAGCGTGGAAACCGGACTAGTGAGCTCAAATCTGTGTTTCCATGCTGCACCAGCCTAGGCAAAAAGAGTAATACTGTTCTCAAAAAGTACATTTCTCTGGCTTCACTGTCACCGGCCATATGAAAACTCCATTCCACACTCAAATTCTAGCCAAGTGGTTTTGAAGGCTGTGAGGAATCAGTGCACATATGCTTTCCAAATCCTCTTGGTCACCATTAAGTGTCTATCATTTTTCCTGCATTCTTTTCTGACTTACTGTGATACCTCCTGTTGATGCTTCTTCTTTTTTTTATTTGAAGAGGTCCTTAATGCTGGTAATATATAGGTAGTGTGG